GCGGCGTCAACAGCGCACGACCACCCTTTTCGCAACCCTCCACAGGGATGACGTCTCTCCGCTGCCGTATCGATCCTCCCACCCCAGACACGGAACCCGCTCACCCCCCGAGGAGAGGTCGGAAAAACTGCCGACTTTCCATGGATGTCGTTCTCCTGCCGGGAATGCATACAACGGCGTGAATGTCGTGGAAGAGAAGGTCGATAGCGATGGACTCACCTGGTGCGCGCACGTATGCTGAGCGGGAGGTGGGCGGAAGGGACGGTGCCACTAAGCCCGGTTCAGCACTGCACCGTCTTCGCGCCGCCAGCCGAACGTCATCGTCGTCACCACAATTGTCATTCAAATTTTGAATTTCAAACGTGGAGGTCCACTTTTTTTATTTTGTTTTCCGTGGCCCACGTCATGCCCTTTCCCGCCGTATGTCGCTGGACCACGCCGTCTCCAGACGGACAACAGCCAGTGGACCACGGACACCCAACCCCGCAGCCGCATATTTTCGTATGAAAACGACCGCGGGCAGGCCACAAGGAAACATCCTCGGGGGACGTCCCCGAGGATGCGTGGAACGACGCCGCAGAATTCCCTTAACAGCCACAGGGAAAATTCCTTGTGGCTGAAGGAACTCATACGGAGTGTCTAACAACGCCCTATCTTTCAGATGGTGGTAACACCATCTGAAGTATTTTGAATGGATTCACATTACAAGTTTTCCCAGCCCCGGTTCAAGGGTCCCGAGTTATCCCCAAGGTCCAATTTGCAGCAGCCTCAGAAGAAAGTCAGCGAACTTTCCCAAAATAAAAAATTGGCAAGGCAGAGGCCGAAGGAGGCCGGTGCCGATTGAAGCAGGCACAAGCAGCCACTGCAACTATATATTTTGGGCTACTGTGTCAGAAAGCAGTGAGTTGTTCATTTCGCAAATTTGTGGAAGCGCTGCTGGAGCTTGTGCGAACTAGCGACCTGGGCGAAGAAGAGCACTGGAGCAGAACAACAGTGGAGGAGGAAGACAACCATCGCCAGGCGAGACAGGGGAAGACCATCGGTGGTCATAGTCGCCTGAGCTTGGCAAGGCACACCGCAGAGGCATGCACTGCCATGCAGGGTAGATCTGGGACCTTGGGGGAGGAGGAATAGTAGCGAGGAGCATCGAGGGATGAACAGTGCAAGTAGCACGTGAGGGAAGTAGAGAGAAGAAAGAAGAGAGAGAGAGCGAGAAGCAGATCAGAAAGGAGAACTCGGGTACTTACCGGAGTCGTGTTGCTGCGTTCCAGACCGCCCAGGCCTTAACTTTTTTTTTTTTTAAAGAGGGCTGCGCCGCACTCTACAGCAGTGCAATACAGAGGCAACACTGGAGAGGTCGAGTAAGCAAGCTTACTCGTACGACCCCTCCGTGGCCCAGAAAAATTAATTTAATATCGTGTGGTCCGATGGACCACGGATCAGATATTAAACTGATCAGAACAGAAACTACACTTGATCTTAGCAAAAAGGACCAAGAAAGGTATAGGCCCAAACTTTTTCAATTTTATATTATTGTAATAATTGAGTGAAACTTCGAATTGGCACTTTTCATCGCTCAATGTTATGTGAGCTTTCGAGGTTCATCGCAATTTATTTAAAACTATCAAAAGAAGAGGAGGGGTAGTACTGAAAGAGGATTCTTGTGTCCTTCGGGACATCCGTTAAAATTGGAACGATACAGAGAAGATTTGCATGGCCCCTGCGCAAGGATGACACGCATAAATCGAGAAATGGTCCAAATTTTTAACCAAAAAAAAAAAGAAACGAAAAATGAAAGAGGATTCTTGTTCTAGTGGGAGCTTGGACGACTCAATATGATTGTTCTTTCTGGTACATCATTGCATCTGCAAGGGAGTTGGGAAGTAAGATTGCATTGATAGGCATCCATTTGGTGTTGGTGATTGAAATGGCTCCCGGAAATGGCCCCGGTCAGAGTGCTGGGAATCATGCTCACGGCACTTGGTAAGCCTGCATCGAACGATGAATGGATCCTAAAACCTGCGTTAGAGAAATTGGCCCGTTGGAAAGACCGTCACACCTCCCTCATCGGAAGGGCCTTCGCGGTGTAATACTAGCGGCCCTCTGGTACAAATCAGCAATTTGGACCCTCAGCAAGGAGGCCGTGAGATCACTAAAAGAATAGATGACAGCCCTGCTATGGAGAGGCAATGAAGAACTGCAAAATGTCATAAGCAGGGTAGCCTGGCAGTCAATGATCCAACCCAAAGAGAAAGGGGCCTAGGGGTCCTAGACCCAAAAACTCAGATTAAAGCCTTGACAATTCAATGGATCAAGAGATTGCTCTTCACTCAACACCTCCCATGGCGGGCCCTTGCTCTAGAACAAATAGCTAGACTTGCTCCCCGGGCACCGCAAGGAATTAACCCGCTAATCTGGTTGGAAGACCTCTGCTGGACTGTGTCACGGGCTCGCCGAAACGGGCAGGCTCCGGGCCGGGACACAGCCTGTTCAGATTTGGTCAGAGACGACTTCTGGGCCCGGGTCGTGAAAACATGGTGCCAACTGCCACTACCCGACAAGCCCCCACCAACAAGGTGGGAAGAGGCGGCGCGCCAACCCCTCTTCGGCAACAGAAGAATAACGGACCAGAACAACAGAGTGTTTTGCAGCTCATGTACCCCGTGGAGCAGTTTGGTCAAAAAAGGCACAACCAGAATAAAAGATATATGGGGCCCGCGGGTGGGAGACTGGAAATCTGCGCAGCAACTAAGGACCACACTAAAGTACTACCACAACATAGAAGAGCACATTGAAACCTTGATCTTCGCTATCCCCCTAGATTGGGTCCGTATCCTACGCAAAGGGCCGAAGCTGAGAGAAGGGGACTGGGTAACAGCCCCGGGAGAGCCGGAGAGTGTAGGCAATGTGATAGAGGTGCGAGCGGAAGAAACCCTGACACCTCTTCCACATTGGCAAAAACAAGGTGCTCAGCCGCTACAAGCCGGAGGTGGTGAGATGGTACAAAAACTCTGAACTGCAAAGAATCCGTGTGCTGCGGCACAAAGATGCATGGATCACATACCAGCCAGAAACTTCTATAGCTGAACTCCCTTTTGACCCCGAGGAATGGCAGTGGTCCCGCCCGCAAAAACGCAAGACGGATGAGAGTTTGAAATTGCACACCTTGACGGTGAAAGCCTCCTATTGCCTGCTGCGCCCAAAAGTGAACATAAAAGAAACGGTAAAGGCCCGATGGAGATCTCACCTGAACGTAGGAATAGAGACAATCCGCCCGATCCGATGGTTCGCTGCCACAAGGTCCAGGCCAGCGAAGATGGCCTCGCTGCAATGGCAGATAGAACATCGCTGCCTCCCCACAAATGACTGGCTTATAGATCGTACATATCTAGAGCAGAAGGGTCGGGCGCTACCGTGGTGCAGATCATGCCACACCGCCTTCCCCGCCCGCAGAATCCCGGAAACTATAGAACATATATTCATGCAATGTCCGGGCACGGTGCTTAAGTGGCGATGGTGGGACAGAATCTGGTCCAAGCTGGATACCGGCTCCAACTGGCCATGGGACTGGAGAGCCATACTATGTGAAACATGGTTCTCCCCCACAGATAGTGTCTTTGAAAATAATATGTTCAAATCGGGGAGGAGAGCAGTCATGTGGGCCCTCTGGGGAAAACGTTGCACCTACACAATAGAGGGGGGGTCCGCATGGTCGGGGAAGAGGTAACAGACATGATAAAACAGTATATCCAGCAAGAACTCGGTGTACAGTGGCAAAAAGTTAAAAACCGGCTTGAGCTGTTTCATACATCAGATGACATATCACAAGCAATCCGGCAATTCTCCGGGGACTGGTTGGGCAATGAGAATGGGGGTTGGATCGCATTTATCCGATGGGACGGCAAGCCTGCCCAGGGGTGCGACCAAGAAGATTTCAGAAGAGATTACTCCATCGACTTCAGAGATTGGACTACGGTGGGACAGGAGACACCACTACGACCACCCACAGACTTCCCCGACCCGTTTCCACCACACCAGCTGGCGATGGTTGACATGCAATTGTATGGAGCAGAATGACAAAAACATTCAACACCGGTAAGGATCTGGAGCTGCCTGTTCAGCAGGTGGCAGCTGGAGATTGGCAGCAGGGGAAGAGCCGACTGGCAGGCACTTTCTCAGCTATCTGTGCTGTAAAAAAGATGAATTCAAGGGACGCTGGACCCGGTTTCCAGCAAAAAAAGGGACTGGGGCTCGTTGGCAGGGGTAGACATGCAATGGGATGGAGCGGTATGAGTGGGCCAGCGGCATCAATAGAAGGTATATCTCAAAGGTAGGGGGCGGGAGGAACCAGGGTGTAGCAGCAGGTATCTGGCGCCAGCCTCAGGGTGAAGAGGTTCGCCCCCCCCAACATCCTGCTCAGTCAATTCCCTGGACCCCAGGGTAATCAATGCTGGCAGGAATATTCCACATCTCAGTTTTTCTGATATGGTTCGAATTCTGACCAAGGGACGCTGGACCCGTTTTCCAGCAGGTGTCGCTCCCCACCAATAGATGGAGCTCCCCCCCAGGTGTTAGCAGTGTCTGCTCTATCAGCACCGCTAACACTGACAGGGGCGTGTTTAAAAAAAAAAAAAAAAAAAAAAAAAAAAAGAAAAGAAAAAGACACGCATAAATCGAGAAATGGTCCAAATTTTTAACCAAAAAAAAAAAAGAAACGAAAAAGGAAAGAGGATTCTTGTTCTAGTGGGAGCTTGGACGGCTCGATATGATTGTTCTTTCTGGTACATCATTGCACCTGCAAGGGAGTTGGGAAGTAAGATTGCATTGATGGGCATCCATTTGGTGTTGGTGATTGAGTAAAGCTTTTCCCGCAATGAAAAAGTAATGCAAATAGGTGAAAGACCATTCAAAAGATGTACGTGTGGCTGTTGGCTTGGCTGCATACGATCGGACAGCTGGTTGTTTTCATCTCTCTGACAATAATTTTGTTCTTGCAACAGACTGCAGGCCCACAGTGCAACCTTTACATTCCGTCCCCTGTTCTGAAAACTGGCAAAAATGATCTTGTAAGTGGGATCTACCTCTCTTCGCCCCTTGTGTGACCTCCCTGCCAGCCAGCCATCTCTCTCTCTCTCTCTCTCTCTCTCTCTCTCTCTCTCTCTCTCTCTCTCTCTCTCTC